TGATCCCATCACATGTAGCACATGCCAACTGATCCCATCACCTGTTCCACATGCCAACTGATCACATCACCTCTACCACATACCAACTGATCCCATTACATCTACCACATGCCAACTGATCCCATCACCTCCACCACATACCAACTGATCCCATCACCTCCACCACATGCCAAGTGATCACATCACCTATGCCACATGCAAACGGATCACATCTCCTATACCACATGCCAACTGATCCCATTACATCTTACCACATGCCAACTGATCCCATTACATCTACCACATGCCAAACTGATCACATCACCTCTATCACATGCCAACTGATCACATCACCTCTACCGCATGCCAACTCATCACATCACCTCTTACCACATGCCAACTGATCACATCACCTCTACCACATGCCAACTGATCACATCACCCCTACCACATGCCAACTGATCACATCACCGCTACCACATGCCAACTGATCACATCACCTCTACCACATGCCAACTGATCACATCACCTCTACCACATGCCAACTGATCACCTCACCTCTACCACATGCCAAATGATCACATCACCTCTACCACATGCCAACTGATCACATCACCTCTACCACTTGCCAACTGATCACATCACCTCTACCACTTGCCAACTGATCACATCACCTCTACCACATGCCAACTGATCACATCACCTCTACCACATGCCAACTGATCACATCACCTCTACCACATGCCAAATAGTCAGATCACCTCTACCACATACCAACTGATTGCATCACCACCACATGCCTACTGCTACTCGCATCACCACCACATGCAAACTGCTGATCGCATCACCACCACATGACCACTGCTGATCGCATCACCACCACATGCCCACTGCTTATCGCATCACCACCATATGCCTACTGCTCCTCGCATCACCGCCACATGCCTACTGCTACTCGCATCACCACCACATGCCTACTGCTACTCGCATCACCACCACATGCAAACTGCTGATCTCATCACCACCACATGCAAACTGCTGATCGCATCACCACCACATGCCCACTGCTGATCGCATCACCACCACATGCCAACTGCTGATCTCATCACCACCACATGCAAACTGCTGATCGCATCACCACCACATGCCCACTGCTGATCGCATCACCACCACATGCCCACTGCTGATCGCATCACCACATGTCTACTGCTACTCGCATCACCACCACCACATGCCAACTGCTGATCGCATCACCACCACATGCCTACTACTACTCGCATCACCACCACATGCCTACTGCTACTCGCATCACCACCACATGCCTACTGCTACTTGCATCACCACCGCATACCCACTACTGACCGCCTTACCACCACATGCCTACTGCTACTCGCATCACCACCACATGCAAACAGCTGATCGCATCACCACCACATGCCCACTGCTACTCGCATCACCACCACATGCCCCAATGATCACATTCCTGCCTGGCTTCACACTGCTTCCATTTTGGCTCAAAGCGCATCATGTCAATTGTTAATGCAGGCCAATAGGATAAAAGCGGAAGCAGATCAGTTGATAGCCGATAATAGAGACCTATTAAAAGAAGTGGAAATGGAATCCCAAGAAGCCAAAGATTTGTTACAAGATGGACTAGCTGCACAACAGGTAGATAATCACATGGTACAGAGTCATTTATTTATTTATTCGTCTGGATGCAGTTAAATTGTATTTCACTCAATGTGTGCGTGTTTGTTTCTTTTTATTCTAATTGTGATTTACTGTTTAACCCTTTCCATTGTCCAATTCAATTTCATTCATCATATTTTTAAATAGACAAATAGTATTGCTGCTTATGTTTGGTCTAATTTTATCATGACAATATAATTTTACCCAAATTTTATGAAGTCGCCCACAAAAACTCTGATTGCCTGGATGTCAATATTAATAAAAGTCTATGGTTATTTAGTACCAAGCTGACTGATGTTGGTATCAGTTTTGTGCCATGCTAATGACCTTGAAAGGGTTAACCAGTCACTGAGACCTATATGAAGTCAAATAAACCAACTAACTAAGGATGCCAATGAAACTACAAAAGTTTGCATCAATAAATTCCATTGAATTGTTTGTGCTTGCATGCTTTACTATCTCAAATCTTGCCTTTTTCTTTTGATTTAAAAAATAATAGATTTTTTGCATTTCTTTTGATGAGATTGATATTTGACTTTATTAGAAAGATTACAGTAGATTATAATCAGGTGGTCCAACTACCGTACTAGACCGAGTTAGCGCCCAGGGGCCTCAACTCAGAAAATCATGATTTTTTTAGGGGTGGGCGCTTACCCGAGCACCCTCCTTCAACATGTGACAGATTGAGGGGGGTAATTACGTGTTTGAGGGAAAATCAAATTACGTAATTAGTTGCATCGTCATTGATTTTTATAATGAAGAAACAGAAATGATCACAAAAAATATGCTCATTTTATTACAATATTAATTACGTACCACCAGAATTTACGAAATTAAAAACATTAGAAGAAGACTTTCCGGTAATGCAATGCGGAAGTGAATTATTGATGTCGAAGTATGTTCTGTTGGAATTGATTTCAGCAAATAAACGACATAGTTTTTTTCAAAAAAACTGGTGCCTAGCCATTTTTGAGAGGTAATCTGAATATGGCATGAAATATTTACCGCATTTTACTTGTATTAACAGGTCATTGTCGAAGCATAGTTTACACACGGTTACCGTGGTCTATGCATTCACAACATATTCGCAGTGGTCGATATCCACGCTGTATCATATAAAAACGATTACCAAGATTCGTTACGCAAGATCAAGTTTTAAATTAGTTGCACTTTGAAGGGGTGGGCGATTTGCCAAATGTGACCTCGAATATAAAAATTGCGCAAAAGTGCCTGGGCATGTGCGCTAACGCGGTCAAGTACGGTAATAGAAATATTACAGTAGATTATAATTTGGTAGTTCAACTAATAGAAGGATTACAGTAGATTATAATTTGGTGTTTCAACTAATAGAAGGATTACAGTAGATTATAATTTGGTAGTTCAACTAATAGAAGGATTACAGTAGATTATAATTTGGTGTTTCAACTAATAGGATTACAGTAGATTATAATTTGGTAGTCCAACTAATAGAAAGATTACAATATATTATAATCAGGTGGTCCAACTAATGGAAGGATTATAGTAGATTATAATTTGGTGGTTCAACTAATTAAAGGATTACAGTACATTATAATCAGGTGGTCCAACTAATATGATTACAGTAGATTTTAATCAGGTGGTCCAACTAATAGAAAGATTACAATAGATTATAATCAGTGGTCCAATTAATAGAACGATTACAATAGATTGTAATCAGTGGTCCAACTAATAGAAAGATTACAATAGATTGTAATCAGGTGGTCCAACTAATAGAAAGATTACAATAGATTGTAATCAGGTGGTCCAACTAATAGAAAGATTACAATAGATTGTAATCAGTGGTCCAACTAATAGAAAGATTACAATAGATTGTAATCAGGTGGTCCAACTAATAGAAAGATTACAATAGATTGTAATCAGTGGTCCAACTAATAGAAAGATTACAATATATTATAATCAGGTGGTCCAACTAATAGAAAGATTACAATATATTATAATCAGGTGGTCCAACTAATAGAAGGATTACAGTAGATTTTAATCAGTGGTCCAACTAATAGAAAGATTACAATATATTATAATCAGGTGGTCCAACTAATAGAAGGATTACAGTAGATTATAATCAGGTGGTCCAACTAATAGAAAGATTACAATAGATTGTAATCAGTGGTCCAACTAATAGAAAGATTACAATAGATTGTAATCAGTGGTCCAACTAATGGAAAGATTACAATAGATTGTAATCAGGTGGTCCAACTAATAGAAAGATTACAATATATTATAATCAGTGGTCCAACTAATAAAATG